CTACCCCCTCCTGGTACTGGTCTACATGTGGTGGCCTGCGTGCCTCACGCCCCCCCTCCGTTACAGGCTGGTCTTCGGCATGCTGTATCCTGCCTACGCTTCCTACAAGGCTGTGAAGACCAAAAACATCCGGGAATATGTGAGTATGAGGGTCGTGGTGCCTGTGCAGCTGGAGCCCTCTGCTCCTTCCCTGCTCTGTGCCCCAGCCCCTGGGGTGACGGGCTTGCCTGCTTCCCTGCAGGTCCGCTGGATGATGTACTGGATTGTGTTTGCAATCTTCATGGCCACGGAGACTTTCACTGACATATTTATTTCCTGGTAAGGTTGGTGGGTGGTCACCGCAGCGCTGGTGCTCCAGAGGGTGGTGGGAGCGGGTCTGGAACAGCCTCTGCACCCTGGGATCCCCTGTGCCGAGGGGGAGGCGGCTGCCTGCCTTCCTTCTGCGTGCTAGGAGAAGGGCACAGGCTCCCCTCACTGCCTGCTCAGTGCCTGGGTCTGTGCCAGCCCCTACAGCTGGCTGCGGGGTCTCCAGGCTTGATGCTAGGGTGAGAGGCACCATCCCTCCTGTGCAGGAGCAGGAGGTGCCCTTGGAGCCTCCTGGCACCTTCTCATCCGTGTCCTTCCTCTCTCTGGCAGGTTTCCCTTCTACTATGAGATCAAGATGGCTTTTGTGGTCTGGCTCCTTTCCCCCTACACCAGAGGGGCCAGCCTGCTGTACCGCAAAATCGTGCACCCCATGCTGTCCCGCAAAGAACAGGTAATGGCTGCCTGGCTCTCCTGGGCCCTGCCCACCCTGGACAGAGTGCTGGGGGGTGGCAAGGAGCTTGGCTCACCGAGCAGGCTCCCTGGCTCAGAGCAGTGTGCTGGGCGAGCCAGCTGCGAGGCTGTGGGGCAGGGCTGGGTGTGGGTCGTGGGGCCGGATTCCTTCCTGAGGCTATGTGTGCTCAGTGCTGTGGCGGTTGTCTCGGCAGGAGATAGACACGTACATCATCCAGGCCAAGGAGCGCAGCTATGAGACCATGGTGCGCTTCGGCAAGAGGGGCCTCAACATAGCAGCCACAGCTGCAGTGCAGGCGGCAGCCAAGGTACCGTGCTGTGCGGGGCTGAGCCGGGACTGGGCGCGCTGCGGGGGCGGAGGCTGCTCTGGTTTTCTGTGGGTGCTTCAGCCCCAGGGATCCCAGTAGGGAATTGCTGCCCTGTGTCGTTCAAGGCCATGCCTCTCCTTGCCTTTCCTGCTCTCCCGGCTGCGCCAGCCTGGCCTCCCGTGCGCTCCCTGCCATCTCTGCCCCCACGCAGCGGGCGAGCGGTGACCTGCCCAGGGGCTGCCCGTGGGAAACCTCAGGGCTGGGCAGGCATCAGGTCCTGGCTGACCCCTGGGAGGCACGTGTGGGCGCAGAGCCCTGCCCTGCGGGACTGCATTGCCCTGGGTTGATGGCACCGGATCCTGCACGCAGGCACCCCAGTGCCTTGGGTCTGCCTGGTGTCGCTGTGGCTTGTTTCCGTCCTTCTGCGCCTCCTGCACTGTCTCTTCTCTCTGGACAGAGCCAGGGTGCCCTGGCTGGGCGGCTCCGCAGTTTCAGCATGCAGGACCTGCGATCCATCCCGGACGAGGCCCCCGTGCACTATCGGGACCCCCTGTACCTAGAGGAGCCAGAGAGCGAGGGGCAGCTGCTGGGTGAGTGAGAGGGGCAGTCACAAAGGGCTGGGGTGGGAATGCTCCCAGGTAGCCGGTCCCTGGCAGGCTCTGACCTGGCCCAGGGCAGCAGGAGGCTCGAACGAGGCCCCATGCAGAGGGATGGGGCAGGGGCTGCTGTGTCAGGAGCTGTCGTGTGACCCCTGTCCCTCAGACTATCGAGCAGCCGCGGCCGGCCGGCAGGGCGAGGGCGACCCGGATGATGCGGCCCGGTCGGGGCGGCACGTCACGGGTGGGGCCCCAAAAGCCGCTCTCCAGGAGCCAGAGCCTGCGCGTGGTGAAGAAGAAGCCGCAGGGCAAAGAGGTAATAATGGCCAAGGGGTGCTGGACTGCTGGCGTGGGGCCACCACGGTGTCGAGTGGGACGTGAGCCCCTCTCTCTCCCCCCATGCAGGGCTCTTCCCGCCTGGTGCGTGCCCGGATCAGGAGGAAAGCAGCTCAGCAGGACCAGGACAGTTAGTGCCCTTGGGGAAGCCCTTTGCCAGGAGTCTTAACCTGAATTTGCTGCTGCAGCACAAGGAGGGAGCCATGATTTGTGTGTCCTCGGCCCTGCGGCTGCACCCTCCCGCATGCCTCACGCCGGGCGGCCGGGGGTGGGGTTCCCCACCTCTTTACACTGTAAATATCTTGTTTGCCCTTTGCCTCTTCCTGGCTGCTCTGTACATCCCGGGGAGTTATGTGGCTGCTAATTGAGTCTAGCTGCTTTGCAGAGGGAGGGCAGGTCTGTCCCAAACCCTTCTGACCCTGACACAGCCCTGAATCTGTTCTCAGCTGTGCCCCCTCCCTGAGCACTGCTGCTGCAGGTCAGCACCGGTGTCTCTCCTGCTGCACCCTGGGACCAGGCTGCCTTTCCCCTGCCTGGCAGAGCCTGTGGGGAGCGATGCCGTGCAGGGTCCTGGGCCCTCGCGCTCTCCTCTCTGCCCTGGTGAACACTAAAGGGCTCTGCTGGGATGCTGCGTCCTCAGCTCAGTGCCCCGTTGGGGCCCTGCTCTCCTGCCACCGCGTTGCCTTACTCCCCATGTTCCCTCTCCTCCGGAGAGGTGTGCCTTGTCCCATCTGTCCTCTGTGAAGCCAAAGAGTCGGCCCGTGCCAATCGCCCTGAGCCGCGGGTGCCTCCCGCGCTGTGCCGGCCGTGCCCGCAGCTGCAGGCTGCCCCACATCCTCCTTACTTGAAAGCAGAGCGACAGTGCCTGCCCGTGGCCTGCCCGGCACCACGCGGCTCCTAATGTTTTCCCCTCCCAGACGGTTTTGTACATGGACAATAAATCTTATTTCAGACTTTCAGAAATGGGAATTGTCCCTGTTGTTTCAGCGCTGTGCCCCTTGCCAGCACGTAGGCCCTGTGGAGGGAAGGTGAGCGGGGCAGCGGGTGGGATGCGGGGGGAGGATGCAGTGCCCGGTCTGGGCTGGGGCGCGAGGACTGCGGCGAGGGGGGCGCCACGGGCACAGGGGCCCGGGGCCATGTCTCAGCCTCTCACTGCAGTACCGCAGCTCCCACGGCCAGGACCAGCAGCCCTCTCCCTCCTGGGACTCCCCTGTGCCACCCGGCTCCCTTTGCTCTTCTCCCTCAGGGACATCTGCTTTGCCCAGGTGGGGGCATGGGGCAGCAAAGCCTCCCTGGGGCAGACCAGGGTGGCTTGAGGTGACAATGCTGCCTTGTGTTACATCTCCTGTCCCCATGTCCCTGGGAGCCCTCCTGTCCCTCTGTGCCCTGCTCTCCGGCTTCAATCCACTTGCTCCCAATCCTTCCTGCCTCACCCCTGGGGCCAGGGTTATTTTTAAACCCTGGCTCCTCTGTGTTTCTGGGGCTCTTTGTGGGGCAGAGAGGGTTTCTGTCCTTCCCCGGAGCCTGGGGCTGCACCCCAGGCAGGGGCCGCCGGCCTGGGCCGGGGGCAGGGCTGGGGGAGCACTGTGGGGTAGGCCGGGGTGTTGGAGCAGATTAGGTGGAGGTGGCTGGATTAGCTGTGTAAAACTGTCTCAGAGACGATTACTTAAAGCAGCAGAGAAGGAAGGCTGGGTGGGGCCAGGGGAAGGGCCAGGGGGTTGCCCGTAATCCTGCTAAAGCTGCTTACGGAGTGCAGTTCCTCCAAGGATACAGCCCGGAGCGGGATGCTGGGGGCTGGCTGTCCTCTGGCCTCCCTGCCCTCGGCAGGGT